AGGACGTACTAATGACCAATAGACAACATTTGAAAAGATGCTCAATATCACTAATCATCAGAGAAACACAAATTAAAACCACAGTGAGATACCACCTCACAACTGTCAGAATGGCTATCATCAATACATCAACAAACAGGTGTTGGTGAGGATGTGGAATAAAGGGTACCCATGTGCACTGTGCAAATTGGTATAGCCACTATTGTAAACAGTATACAGTTTCCTCAAAAAAATTAAAAATAGAACTACCTTAAGACTCAGCAATTTCACTTCTGAGTATTTATCTGAAGAAATCCCAAACATTAATTCAAAAAGATATATGTATCCCTATGTTCATTGAAGTATTATTTACAATAGCCAATATGTAGAAGCAATCTTAGTGTCCATCAATAGATGATTGGATAAAAAAGAAGTAGTATACATATAATGGAACATTTCTCCACTGTAAGAATAAAATCTTACCCTTTGGGATAACATAGATTGACCTACAGGATGTTATGCTAAGTGAAATAAGTCAGTCAAAGAAAGACAAATACTGTATGATTTCACTTAAATGTGGAATCTAAAAATCAAAATAAAACAGAAACAGACTTATAGAATCAGAGAACAAATTGATGGTTACCAGATGTAAGGGAGATTGGAGGCCTGGGTGTGGAGAAATTAAGTACAAATTGACAGCTACAAAATAGTCACAGAGATGTGAAGTACAGCATCGAGAATATAATCAATAATACAATAAATATGTATGGTGCCAGGTTAGTACAGAATGATCGGGGGGAATCACTTCCTAAGTTATATAAATGTCTAACCACTGTGCTGTACACCTGAAATTAATATATTGTTGAATGTCAACTGAAAATGAAAAATAACCTTCCCATTTACACAAAGAAAATCTTGGTCAGTTCACAGAGATAGTAGAAGTTTCAGAAACTTCAGCAAGTACACAACAAGGAATATACATTACATAAAAATAGTTTGGAGAAATCACTAACTGACAGCTCCAGCTCTCAACAGTGAGAAATCAGCAATCTTTGAGGAGTGGGAAAATCAGATTTCTAGAATTAGCACATTAATTTTCAAAGGAACAAAAGTTTAAACATCTCACTGGCTAACTCATGAAATGTTTGATAAATTCACCTATTAAAAACTAAAATTATACATTAAGGTATAAAATTACACATTATAAATAGTGTATTTAAAATTGTACCATTCAGAATTAATGACCTTTCCTTATAATCACTCTCAACTCCCTTAATTACTATGTCTTTCCTGTAAACAGCACCTCTGAGTATTCAGCCTCACCAGTTATTAAAGCAAGGTGCATTCTTATATATTAAACTAACAAAAAGGAAAATCAATGTGTGTGAGATTATGGCAAAAGTGTTTCACTCATGCATTGCTGTCATAGCCTATAATATATTCATGTTTGTTTTTATATAAAGTTAATATCTCCAGATACTTATCAGGTAAAACTGGTGCTCCAGACATGCCCCCATGCATCATCTGGTATGGACAGTCTAGCTGAGAAGGCATTTAACTGTGTGGCATTAGAAGTATTAAAATAATCAATATGCAATATTGATGACAACATCAAATATTGCAGGTTTCACCACAGCTGAGGAGCTGGAAAATTGTCTTACCCTTTGACTCAATAATCTCAAATGTAGGAATAAGTGAGATTTGGGAAAATTAGCCCAGTAGAGACAACAGCAGTACCTCAAAACATGTCTTTTGGAAATAGGGTCATTGCACATGTAATTAGTTAAAATGACTCATAATTCAGTAGGGTGGGTTCCTAATCCAGAGTGACTGGAGGCAAGGAAGGATTCCTTTATAGGTTTCATAGGGAGTATGGTTCTGTCAACACCTTGTTTGTGGACTTCTAGCCTCCAGAACTCTATGAGACAAATTGCTATTGTTTTAAGCCACTCAGTTTGTGGTACTTTGTTACAGCAGCCCAAGGGAACTAATACAATGGTCAATTCATTTTTGATAAGGATGCCAAGACCAGGAAATGGGGAAAGAACAGTCTTTTCGACAAAATAATGCTTCGAAAACTGGATATCTAAATGAAGTTAAACCTTTACCTTTCACCATATACAAAAATTACTTTGAATAGTGGATCAAAGACTAAATTTAAAAGATAAAACTATTAAACTTTTAGAGGACAGTCTACATGAGCATGGATTTAGCAATGATTTCTTAAATGGCATCAAAAGCACAACTTGAAGAAGAAAAATTAGATAATTTGGACTTCGTCAAAATTAAAAACTTTTGTGCATTAAAGAATACTATGAAGATATTTTCTTTATTAATAATGACTAATTTTTCCTTTAATTTTCTTAATTATTAGAACGATTCAAAGTGGAAAATTTGCCCCAAATTTTAGTCCTCAACCTTAGATGAAATTACAAACCAAACATTCCAAGACACACACCTTCCATAATAACAAGCAATAAAGTTATGTTGGAATTATTCTGACATAATGTGCAATTTCCATTTTAAAAATATGTCAGAAAATTTACACTCATTGGTATCTAAAATCTACAGTTAGATTTCTGAAACCTGATTCTGGCATGTAATATGGAAGCTATGTATCTTGGTACGTTTGGTTTGTAATTTCATCTAAGGTTGAGGACTAAAACAATAGGATTTGTTTTGTACTAATGATAATGGTGAATGGATAACTAAGGGGAAAAGAAATAACATGTTCATGTTATAGGTGAATGATGTGATTCCCATTAATAAAGATGAAGAACAAAACTAAAAGGACACGAGAGTGAAAAGAAAACTCACAAAACAGGAGAAAATATTTGCAAATCATATATTTACCATATATAAAAATTCCTACAACTCAACAAAGAAGCCCAAATAGCATAATTCATAAATAGGCAAAGGACTTGAATAATATACAATCTATAAACATGAAAAATGCTCAATATGATTAGTTTTGGGGAAATGCAAATCAAAACCACAATGAGGTACCACTTCATATCCACTAGGATGGCTATCACTTTAAAAAATGGAAAACAAATGTTGAGGATGTGGAAAAATTGGAACTCCTGTGTATTGGTTGTGTAAACATAAAAAGGTACAGCTGCTGTGGAAAACTAAACATAGAATTATGCTATAACCCAGCAATTCTAATCCTAAGTATATACCCAAAGGAATTGAAAACAGATACTTATACAGCAATTTTTCACAATAGCAAAAATGTGGAAGCAACCACAGTGTTTGGAAATAATGGTGTTGGTTACACAACATTGCAAAATGTGCTTACTGCCATTGAATTGTGCACTTAAAAGTGGTTAAAATGGTACATTTCATCTTATGTATATTTTATCACAATTATGGAAAAAGACAGACAAAAGTGGAGAAAGTGTAAAGGCAAGTTCTTAATAAAAATGATTGGCCATGGAATCCTGGAAAGTAAGTAAGCCTAGAAAAGACTGGTAGGAAGAGAAGAGAATATTTGAGGTATTAAAGGTTACAGTGTGTCAGAGGGAAGATATTTAGAGAGTAAGATCGAGAGAACTGAAATACAGTCATGTGCCATATAATGATGTTTTGGTCAACGTCAGACCGTATATACAGTGGTGGTCCCATAAGATATAATGGAGCTGAAGAATTCCTATTGCCTAGTGATGTCTTAGCCTTCATAACTTCTTAGCACAGTACATTACTCATGTGTTTGTGGTAATGCTTGCTGCTGTAAACAAACCTGTGCTGCCAGTCAGATGAAAGTACAGTACATACAAGTATGTACAGTAGATAATACTTGGTAATAAATGATGATGTTACTGATTTCTGCATTTACTATACTATACTTTTATTATTTTTTAAAGCATACATTTTGCACTTGTAAAAAAAGTTTGCTGTAAAGCAGTATGCCATATTAACCTGCAGTAGCCTCATGTATCTGTTTTGTGTGTCTCTTGATTGCATCATTTTTTCTTTTGCTTGATTAAATCTCGTGTTGTTTTGCGCCATAACATGCTGTACGGGCTTGTAGCCTAGGAACAATAGGCTATACCATGTAGCCTAGATGTGTAATAGGCTAGACCATCTAGATTTGTGTAAGTGCACACTTCGATTTTTACACAATGATGAAATCGCCTAATGACACATTTCTCAGAATGCATTCCCGTTGTTAAGTGGCCCATGACTGTAATAGCTAGATGTGTTGACTGATATATTGGAATGTTAGAATTTCAGTGGCAGAATGTTCCCAGTTAATAAAGTTGAGGATGTGACCATAGGTGTGGACTGCCTAATAAGTGTGGGAAATGACAGTCTCGGGAACAGAACATGGTGAAGTGGGGAACGTGGAGAGGGTATAGAAAGCAAGCTTGAGTTGGATGTTGAAGATTAGTAGATATCAGTGGTTGGTTTACAGGAGCCTCATAGGAAAAATGATTGATTTTTACTATATTTCGTAGTTCTGTGCTTTTATTATAGTATTGGCCCAGAGTTTGTTGAATTTCTTTTTACTGAACTAATTTTGGTAAGCCTGGTGGGTTGCCAATGGCTAACTAAGCCTATCCTAAAGTTGAGAGTTGTAGAAATAGACTCAGGCAATATTTCAGCTCTTCTGTACATACAGAGGCTTTATGTGATTGTGTATATCAAGATAAGTATAATGAAGGGGAAAAACATTAGCTTCTTTATCTTGCTTTAAAAAGTATATAAACAAGCAATTAAGGCTTTCCATTAGTTTTAATTTGGGGAGGAGGCTTCAAAAAGAATTTAGTGCTTCAAAAAGAATATCCTTTTGGATAGAGTCTGATCTAAAATTTTATACCCTATGTCACCTGATAATTGTAAATTGTGTTCGATTTATAAAATTAAAGAGAAGGAAGTCATTTGGAAAGCCCCATCTAATTAAATTATACTTTGAAATTATAGTTTCGCCTCTAATTTTGTTTTCTCTTACAGTGGATCTTTCATATAATATAGTCTTTGATTTATATTGAATTTCAAAATGTTTCCATCTTTCTTAGGAAAACAGGAAGTCATTTTCACAACTTCATTAGTTGGCAAGACCTAAGAGCTATCGAACTTGTAAAATCTTGGAATAGTTCACTTATAATGAAGGTAATCTTTTTCTTCTCTGTAATTTAGATGTTCCTGTTTTTCCTGTAAATGTCCCTTAACTGTAGACATAATTGTATAATCACCTATCTATGCTATTTTTGAACATTAAGAAGCAAATACACATATGAATGCTCTACACATCAGTGAAATTTAATAATAGTTACCCAAAAGCATATGTGGTAGACTGAAGTATTTAACAATTACACTTCAGGAAGTCCTGAGGAGGTTTGGGGTGGACCAGAGCTTCACATGTTAGTGAGAATTCATGTTTCCATTCCTGGAGAAATGAAAAAAATATAAACTATGCCCAGAAAAGATACACCTTGCTTTAATAACTTGTGAGGCTGAATACTGAGAGGTGCTGTTTATAGGAAAGACACAATAATTAAGAGAGTTGAGAGTGGATATAAGGAAAGGTCATGAATCCTGAATGGTACAATTTTAAATATACTATTTATAATGTGTGATTTTATACCTTAATGTATAATTTTAGTTTTTAATAGGTGAATTTATCAAACATTTCATGAGTTAGCCAGTGAGATGTTTAAACTTTTGTTCCTTTGAAAATAAACTGTGACCATGAAAACATTCACTTCTGTAGCAGAAGCCCCAAATCTCAAATCATGATGCCACAACCACAGTCAAGAAAATGAACATTTCATCATTACAGGATCCATCGTGTTTCTCTTACATAACCACACCCACTTCTCTCCTGTGCACTTCTCCACGCTCTCTGATCCCTAGTTCCTTTCAACAATTAATTTGTCCTCCATTCAAAATTTTTCTCATTTAAAAGATGTTATGTACATAGAATCATGCAGTATAAAACCTTTTGGGATTTGCTTTCCTAGTACAATTCCCTGGAGAATCCAAGTTGTTATGTGTATCAATTGCTTGTTTCTTTTACTGCTGAGTTGTATTCAATGGTATGGATATACTACCTGATGGAGGATATTTTTACTAACTCTAGTTTTTGGCTATTAGAAATAAATCTGTTATAAACATTTGTGTACACGATTTTATGTGAATATAAATTTTTTTATTTCTCAAGGATACATGCCCCCAAGAGTGCAAATGTTGGGCGATATGATAATTACATGGTTTATAAACTGTTTTTTAGAATGGCTGTACCATATATATTTCCACCAGCAATGTATGAGTTATAGGACATACATTTTTCTTATTTTAACATCTTTGAAATCAGGATGCATTTTGAACCATTAATTATACCTTAACATTATGTCATAATTTAACTGGCAGGATTGTTTTTCTTTTTTGGTGGTATATTAAGTAGCAATTCCTTTTACAATCAGTATCTTCTTAGATGATCTCATTTGTTGATTTGATCACTTATTTGTCTGTCTCTTCCCACTAGAATGTAAATTTAAGGAAGGCAGGGATTCTGCCTGTGGTTTTTTACTCTTTTTTTCAAGGCCTAGTACAGTCCTTGGTACATAGAAGGAACCCAATAGATGTTTGTTTAATATGTGGACCAAAGTGTTAATTGTTCATATGTTGACTTAAAGTGCCAATGTTAGAACTATTAAAATTTTTTTTGTAACCAACTTGCCACCACCTGAGGTATCTACATTTTAACAGAAGATTCCCAAAGGATCCTAAATCTAACTTTTATAGAGAAAAGTATAGTGTGCTTAGAGAAGAAGAACCCATTTCAGTTTGAGATATTTCTTAACATATAACAATTCAGAAGGAGGGTTATGGGTGGCCACTTTAAATACTTTTAAAAAGTATTATATTTTAATAAATAATGTAAAATATAAAGAAATACGGAAAGTTTGAGCACTGAACAGGTGAAATGAAGTTCAAAGGGTACAAACTTTCGGTTATAAGATGGATAAGGTCTGAGGATCTAACATAAAATGATGACTATAGTTGATAACACTTTTGTATAATTGAAATTACTAAGAGTAGAACTTTAAATGTTCACACGCAAAAAAAAGGTTTAAAAAATTAGAAAGAGGCTCATTGTTCAAAAGAAAAAGATAAGACTGAAATGTAAAGGGAACTAAGTCTACGCATTTTCTTGATTAGTGTGTTATGGTAAAAGTGAAAGAAAAATAAATGTTACTATTTTTAATAAGCTAAAAAAATCTTTAAATTTATTTTTGGGAGAGGGTTGGGGAACAAGAGAACAATGCAAGAGGTGGGTAAATTCTCTATAAGTGAATGTTTTATAAAACATCAGTTTCAGAAGTTGTATTGTCCACCTGAGTCCTTGTAGTAGGTAGCAGGGAAAGACTTGTTTGTTTTCTGTTTTTGTGTGTGTATGTGTGTATTTTTTTTAGCATGTCTTACAAACTTTAAAACTCAAAGCTGAGTTTCTGTGTAAGTCTTTTTAAAGATTTTGCTTATTAAGAAGTAAATTTGAAGTCATATATGTTTCTTCTTTGATCATTAGATAAGTATAGACAGTATTAAAATCATATACCCAATTTTA